TCTATTCACAGTGTAACCATTTTCTACTTTTTCTCCCTCTCCTTGGCTCCTTCCCTTCACCACAGAGGAATGCTTAACCCTCCTAACATTTACTGAGCATGTACAAAGAGGCAATTGCTACTGTAAGCAGTTTACATAGAACATTTTATTCAATCCTGACAAGAACCTTTGATGTTCCTGTTATTACATCCCCTCATTTTATGAACTAGGAAACTCAAGCTGGTAGAACTGTGAAATTTACTCAAGGTCACGAAGCTTCCCACTTCCTCATACACTTGAACTTTTCTAAAGAAGAACTTAAATGGGTTTCTTCTCCCTATTTCCTTCCTCTCTTCCTCGGTTTCTACATCATGTGTCCAGAAACAATCTCAGTGACTTATAATTGAGCTTTTCTGTGTATGTCAACAAGGATAGGGAGCCCTAGTTGGTTTGGCTCAGTGGATAGGGCAACAGCCTGCGGACTGAAGGGTCCCAGGTTCGATTCTAGTCTAGGGCAAATGCCTGGGTCATGGGCTCAATCCCCAGTAGGGGGCGTGCAGGAGGCAGCTGATCCATGATTCCCTCTCATCACTCATGCTTCTATCTTTTCCCTCTACCTCCCTCTCTGAAATCAATAAAAAAATGTTTTTTTAAAAAAAAAAAACAAGGATAGGGACACTTATACATTACAGACACATACACACACAACACCACTATTAACACTGGTTCAATATATATTTGTTGACATGTAAAAAAGAATGAATTCAGTACTTACAAGAATTATATTATTAAAAATGTATCAACATAGCCTTTTTCTCAGCTGCTATCACTTTTATAATTCTTAAGCTCTATGAGTTTAGAACTGTACAAAAGAAACTAAAGCGTTCAGTAGGTTTTTGAAAAGCGCTCACAGCCTGGACCTTTTTTTTTTCAGTCGCCTAACCCAATCCCCTGGTCCACCACTTGGCACAGTCTCCGTGGCTTTCAAGAAGAATTTTCTCTGAACACGAAGGACAAGATCAGGTCCACAAAGGAAGAGCATACCACAGTATCAGCTGAAACTGCTTCCCCTTCAGAAAGGCCAGGCGGACACCAGGTCAGCCGAGGAAGCAAACATCTCTTCCATTGACAAGTGTTTAATTGGACATTTTGAGTACCTAATGCCATGTATGCAGATGCAAATGTCTGAAGGGTTGTTTACAGTGCAGTTGGTGCCAGACAGGCTCCAATGCCAAGCCAGCACACAGCCTCCCATTATCCTGCTGGGCTCAGCTTCTAAGGATGTTTCAGGGCTCTCTGGGCCTTGTAAATTTCCACAGCCAAAGGCTCCTCTGTGTTTTCAGAGCTGATTCCTTCTTTCCCCCGTGAGCAGACTGTCCTTACCCTGCCAATCTCTGTTACTGCCTGCCCTCGTTCAGAAAAGGCTTTGGAGAAATGATCTGAGAGGTCATTATTCCATCTCTGGAAAGTGTAGGGTTGAAGTTTTAGTAGTTTTGGGAAACTCACAGAAAGGAAATGTCACATTCTAGATCCCTGCCCAGACACTGGGTCTTCGCTGATATCACCACCAAGAATTGTTCCTGTTATTCATTGAAACTGCAGCTTACTAAGTCAGAGAGAGGAGTCCACCTCAACACATTGCGGATGGATCACAAGAATTCTCGTGTTTTCATATTACACAGTGTTTTACAAAATATCATATTTTAAAAAGATATTAGATTGTAAGAACATGTAATAAATAACTTCAAAATGCAATGGGTATTTAATTTTAAGGCGTGCCTTAACGTTTATGTAAAACGTTTTTTGTACTCGTTCAATAGAAACTTATCTGGCCACTGGGTAAAGCTAGCAATAAAACTACTGGTCCGCATTAACATGCCAGCTATAAGGAAGCACTTTGGTTGGGAGATAAACAAGGATATATCTCCAATGGGGGAATCCATTCACCTTTAAAGAAAGAAAAGATAGAGAGAACTCGTGGACATGGACAACAGTGTGGTGATTGCTGGGGGGAAAGGGGTGCATATAGGTGGAAGAAGGCATAGAGGAGATAAATGGTGATGGGAAAAACAAAATAAAAACAAATTCAATAACAACAACAAAAACTGAACCATACTCTGCTTTGAAAAATGCAACACAATAAAATATGACATTATTTTGGTATGATGCCTTCACTGTATCCTCTTATCAAATACCTTCTTCAAGAGGAATTTTTAAAAGTTTAAAGTCCTAAATTGGAAATACACATTAAGAACATTGTTCATGTGTCATTTAAGGATATTTAATACAAGAATAAAAGTTCTTCCACTCATTTTATATTTGATAAGTTTTTTTAATCCAATGGGCTCTACTGTGTAATAAGAAAATTACTAGTATGTATAATGAGTTCATTCATTTTTTTTCATACTACAAGCACTGATTACCTACTATGCTAATATAATTTTAAATGGTCTCTAATGATTAGGGGACCAACTCCAATCCCTGTCTCCATATTTGATACTCAAATTAGAAAAGACTTGACAGCCTAGCCGGCTGACTCAGTTGGCTGGAGCATCATCCCTTACACCAAAAGGTTGTGGGTTTATTTCTGGTCACTGCACATACTGCACATACGTAGGTTGCAGTTTGATATGCAATGGATAGATGTTTCTCTCACACATCAATATATTGTGTCTCTCTCTCTCTCTCTCTCTCTCTCTCTCTCTCTCTCTCTCTCTCTCCCTTCCCCTCTCTCTCCAAAAATCATTAAAAACATATCCTCAGGTGAGGATAAAAAAATAAAAGTCTTCACATGTAACATAATCAGTATAGGTATAGCTTACTGCAGAGGTATCTTGCTTTAGGCAAAACCCATATATGAAAATCTGAATTTCTCCAACAATATATGGGTAATTAAGTTCACTTTATAAAGGGGATATATGCCTCAGAGCAGAGTTAATCATAAGACTGTTTCATATTGTAGACTTCTACCATATTGAAGGTGTCATTCCACAGATATTCTTGATATACAACCCTTCATGACCATCCCTACTGCATGTAACAGAGTCAGTACTAAGGATCTTTTCCATCACTGCCCCTCACCCCAGATCTTGGCCTTGTTGGCCCTCAAATCGTCTGCTTTAATTTTACATAATGTGGCATGGTGGGGGGTGGAAGGGACACTGTAAAAGGCCGAGGTTCCAAGGCAAAGCAAGGCCCTGGTACAATGAATAGAACCGAGGGTTGAACGTCTTGCCAGCCATAGCATCTGAAGCAAACTCAGCCTCCTAAACACCCAGATTTTTGTTTCTAAAAAAAAAAAAAAAGATAATAATGTCTGGATGCACCTGCTTCTGAAGGCTCATGTAACAATCAAATTTTTAAAATATTTTAAAGTATAAGGTGCTCCACTAGTAAATTCTCTCTTACCAAGCAAGTCTAACGCCACAATACTCAGAGAACTCTGCATCAATCTACCTTCTTTGTTAGCAGCTATTTGTCAGAGAATCCATTAAGTGTTCTGAAAATTCCTCCCAATCATTCTCCTTTTCATTTTATCTTACTCTACCTTTGTTATTCTTCCCTTAGTTCAAAGTCTCCCGGCACTTTCTCTGCAAAATACCATCAAACCCCCTGCCCAGTGCCTCTGAACAATCTCCTATCTGTCTCTTCCTGACAGGTTGAATAAGATGAGAAATTAAAACTCGTGGCATTCTTACAGTAAAGAAGTAACAGTTCTTTGGAAGAGCCAGCTCAAGTTTCTTCTCTGTCCTCCAAAGCCGCCTATACCTGTGTCCTTACCCATCAACCCTTTCTGCTACGCTCCTGCCATTTGCTCCTTTGTTCCTTTCAACTACTCCTACCTGTGTTGCTCTGTTTCGCTTTCTCTTGGTGGCTTTTACTAACACTTCATTGTTTTAAGTGTCCAACCCTTTTCCTTCACTGGAACTTGCATAACAACTAGAGTTCTAAGGAACTTACCTTAAATATGATGTAATGGTCATTAGTCGAGTCTGATGTGTGTGTGTTTTTCCTTCTTTATAAGTGGTTTATGGAGTTGATGTGTCTTTTTAGGCTGAGGACCTGTCATAACCTTTGGCAGTTCTCAACTGTATGATGTCATAGTACAGCTACCGTCAAAGCTGTATCCTGGGGATCTCTCCTGAATGTTCCACAGTGACCTCTACGCACTGTCTTTCTCCCCAGACCTCTTCCCCATCTTATATCTATTATTCTCATCAATGGCATCTCCATTCCCCTGGTCAAGTAATTCCAACGTCTCGGAATTACTGTCAACCTTACTTCCCATATCCAGCTAGTCATGAAACCCGACCCTCTCTGTTTTCGGAGTATCTCTCAAACCCAGGCTAGTTTAGACCTTTACCCTATTTCACGTGGATGACAGCAACAGCATTCTCAGTTTCTTCTGGCGTCCTTGCCTTTCCCTCTGAAACATCATTCATGGAGCTATTTCCCAAAGAAAATTCATGTAACATCCTCTGCTTAAAAATTCAGCTTAAAGAAACTCATAAAAAATATGATAGAGGCTGTCATAAAATCTAAATAGTGTAGCATTCAAGGGCCTTCGTTCTCTGGCCCCAACCTCACAAGACCTCTCCTGAGGCTGCCTCTTTCTGGGAGTGCCATGCTCACACTCGCCTCCTTTTCCTCGCCCAGGTAGTTCTCTCTGCTTGGAACACCCCTCTCCCTTCCCTTGGTTTTTAGGCTTCAAAATCCACCCACTCAGACGAGTCTTCCTCGGCTCTACCCTGACCTCTTTCCTAGGAGAACGAGTGGCAACTACTTGTACGTCACCCCTGGTGTAATTATGTGTGGATGGGTCACTTTCCTTTCCTAGTTAAACTCAGCGTCTCATTCACCTTCCCTGGCACATAGTACACACTCAAGAAACGGTTACCGAAATTAATATGTGCTTAACAAAATAACTAAAGAAAAATTCCCGAGATCTAGACGCACACCAGCCCCACTTCTTTGCTGCATGAACAAAACAGGGCTCAGGAATAAAGAGAAAGGACTAATAATCTGGCGATAGCCAACACACGAATGGGTTGTTTATTTTTAAAAGCTAAGTGGGTTAGGGAGGGTAGGGGGAGAAGAAAGTACATTTTATAGTTCTGGCTCCAGGGCAAGTAATAAAAATTGTTGCTTTAATGTTTTTTTCATAATATTGTGAGCAATGAGAAGGTCTATTCCATCACACCAGCCTTCCGGGCATAAAATTTCAGCCTCCTGAGCTAAATCAAACTGGCATCAGCTCTCGGTTTTTCAGGCGGCCGCAATTGGTCTCTGCCTTCCATGAGGCGAAACTTGACTGACAGAGAAGAAACAAATTAATTTTCCACTTAATTTATGAGCCCCTCTTTTGCTCTTGTCGATTAATTATGTGGGTCCTGAAAACTTATCTTGCATTCTTGTGCCCGGATTACAGGGATGCAGGCATTGTACCTTGTCTGCATTCGTTGTCATTCATATAAAGGAAGAGGTTGGCCTGGACTCCCATCCAAAACTCACTTACCCACAATGCCCCAGAGACCACATTTTCCAACATCACACAGGCTTTCCTTGGACTGTCTATCTTTTGGGGAGAAACCCTGCCTCCCTCTGCCTGTGTTTTGAGTACCTAACTTTTCCATTTTCCAAGCACTGCTTCTATTTAGGAAGGTAACAGGGATTAAAACAGTACTTACCTCTTAGGTTTATACTAAGAATTAAATGGGGCAATAAAAGTAAAAAATAATTTGGGGTTGAGGGAATGACGCGTGCTGTGTTCAGAGGGAGCATGGCTCTCAGGGAGAAGACAGGGAGCGAGGAAGCTTGGGAGATGCAGCTGCAGAGTTAAGGCCGCATGGAGTTTTGTAGGCCTTCATTAGCCTAAGAGCAGTGGGAAATTACTGAAGTGTTTTCAGCAGGAAATAGATGGTATCGTCAGGCTGGGTTGCATGGAAAAGCAAGTTAGACCCGGGACAGGGAGCCTGTGGCGATGCAGAGTGAAATCCTGCCCTCCGTTCTCCCCACAAGCTTGGAGTCTGCTATCCTCACCTTGAACTCCCAGGCCCTTTGGAAGCCGATGTGGAGAAGAAGAGGAGAGAGCTGCAGTTTGTGGAGAGGAAAGGGGGCCCAAGATTGTAGAGTTCCCAAGCAGAGCAGCTGAACTAAGCAGAACTCCATGAAATCAGCTGAAATGTCACCTTTTACCCCTGATAAGAGAGAGAATCCTTGAAATCTAACTCAGGGAAAGGCCCCATCTAACTGCCCTCATCCTGGAGATTATGAAACTGAGAACTAAAGAGATCATGTGACAAGTCCACAGTGATCCAGCTTTTCCGGAACCTGGGTCTGGAAACCTAGAACCGGTGCATAATAGTCTCAACCACAGTATCTTGGTACATGTAAGTATCGCTCTCTCCCTCTCTGGACCATAGAATCAGCCTTCTCCCGTCACCCACAAACCAGACAGTACCGTCTCCGGAAAACAAAACTTCATCATCCTGAAAATCATCCTGAAAGCAAGAGAAACGTCTGGTTTTACAAACAAGTTGCGAAAAGCAGAGGCATGTGTTCTGCCTTTGGATGCACCCTACCTTTCAGAAATGCACTCAGTAATATTATGGTGACAATGATTCTCCAAAAGTCCAGAGTAGAAAACAAAACATGGGCGAGAAAAAGCCTGGGAACATTTTGTTTTAAGGAACACATATACAAAAAATCGACCTACAGGTAAATAGGGGTGGGGTGGGGGGGGGGTTGCTTCTGTGATTACGTGTTTTCTTTAAAAACAGCATAAAACAGAACCAGCTTTTAAGCAGCCACAACAGAATGACTCCATTTACAGAAGTCCCACCATTTACAACCTTTGGGAAACTGCCTGTGTCCGCCGCCTCCACTTGGCCTGTGTTGTGCTGTGCAGATGCTTCCTCGTTGGGCTCTAGTTCACGTGCACGCACTCAGCCTCCTTCCTGGGCTCCCCGTCTACCCAGGGCCTCACTCACTCCACCACGCACTGAGTCCCACTGGGGACCTGACAAGTCAGACCCGCGCTGCCCTCGGAGAGCTTAGATGGCACCAATAGTGAAAGTACAAGGGGAAAGGGGACAGGACCGCAAAGGGGCCGGACAAAGCCCTTGGAGGTTGGGGCTGGGTCCCGATACGGGGAAGAGGAGGCGGCCTGGAGGCTCCATGCGGGCGCTGCAGACGTTGCTGCAGCCTCCACTCCAGCCCGACGTCCGGCCTCCCCAGTTCTGGGCCCGCAGGCCCGTCTCCCTGTGGCCCGACGGGCCCGTCCGTCGGGTGGGGGGACCCATCCAACTCTGGGGTCGTTCCGGGAGCGGTCGTTGGCTTATCGTCTTTGGTCTTGATCATATTTTGGTGGGCAAGAAGGCCAGAGTCTTGCCATTAGTTTTCAATTGTTGATGTTTTGAACATCTTTTATATAAATAGTAACCAATTTTAGTTTATGAGATGTGTTAGAATCTTTTTCTCTTTTTAAAAAATATCCGTGACAAGGTACAGCCCAGGCGGTATATATTCTAAAGTATGATATGAAGGGTCTCATTGGGATGAAGGCCCGGGTGTGCGTGTAGGTGT